GCACCTAAATACATTAAATTGTTGAAAGACAGATACTTTCACCTAAACGTAACTGATCCAAATCCAATCCCCAACCCCCAATTTCAGTTCAAATGTTGGAGATGCAGTATGAAGAAAAACCACAAACGAAATGCCCATAACACCATGTACATATATGATGTGTGGTGAAGCCAACCTGACATGGGTGTTAGTCTTTTGTAGGCTGACAACAGGATTTAGGAAATTAGACAGGTATTCTTGGCCACTAGTTCAATATTCGCGAAACCTTTGGTATCATGCACCAGTGATTCTCCTTGCCATCATTGATGCATTCCGATGATGTTAATCCAGTCATGTTTCATCACCAGCTTTTCGGTCATTACTTGTCATAACTTGTCATTACTCGAGGTTCGGGAAAGTCCCGTTTGAGAAGTCTTCCGATGTACTCTGTTGGATGTACGTGCCACTGCCACATCTTCTACAGGGCGAACACCACAATCATCTTCTAAATTATATTTGCTGCATACCACTCTTTTGCTGTCAGTTACACCTTGGTGGACTTTAATTCATCGTCTGTGAAGTTTGAATAGGTACATATAATCGGAAATGTCGAAATGAGATATACCGAAATCTCATGGACATGGGTGATGGCCTTACTAAGACTGGGTTAAAAAGTACAAGCGACCAAACCCTTGCCATCATCATCAGAATAAACAATCTTTACGCTACATCCTTGCTTAAACGCAGGTTTACACTAATCGTAGCATTAAGACCACTTTCGATCAATGGGGTTTCGTCTTCTGTCCATATACACTTGTAGTTGCGCACCACTGCTGCGTTGATAGCAACCGAATCCAGTATAAGTGCCTCCATCTTGATTTGGTTCAGTTGTCCGAAAACATTAGTCGTCATTGACGGAGTTTATGTAAATAACAATCTGAGTTTGTGTCAACCGAAATGAGATTAATTTAGATACGCACCACAAATACTTTGATTTACTGGAGCCGATATCGGGGTGATCGACGCTGAAGTCAGCGGAGTGGAATTACACGTAACAGCTCGTGTCATTGGCTGAGGACGGGAGACGGGAGACGTGGCCAGTGAAGCCAAACAACACGTGATAGTAATTAATGGCCGCGGTTTCAGGGAAATCAATCAGATTCATCTACATCCATGACAAAGATAGAACTTCATTCACATCTGTTTACTGATTGATAGCAATACCACGTGCGATATAGGTCTTCCGCCTACGCAGGTACAAAGCATCGATTATTCTAAAGTCAAGGTCGGCGGGCTGCTGAGGACTACGTGACATCTTTGCTGAATCAGGCTTACCAGCTCCGTCTGGGCTGGCGGGTTGTACGGGAGACAACGACACCCATGCAGTTAAAGCACTGGCGCTGAGTACTTGGCTCAAGCAGTATACCTACTCCGCCTGGCCCTTGCTCCACAGTGTAACAAGATCAATATTATTAGCAGTGGTTTTACGGCATAAAATGTATAGATTGCACAGTATGAAAAAAATGATAGCAGAAAACGTGAATACTCTTAGAACAGTATTTCATTTGGTTTGCAGAATATTATTTCTAGTGCTTTCAAATTATTATACAGCAACACTGTGGGTTCAATATTAAATATACTGGTTGCAATATATTCAGCTACAGGTGAACATATATATTTGATGATCGGTAATTTCGTGGTGTACAATATCCTGCATACTGGATGCATTCCATGAGATATATTGGTTGTTAAGTGTTTAATTAAGGATTCCGTTTTATTGCATATGCTGGTTGTACAATATTCTTTATTATTCACATGCCACAATGTTTCATTGGCTTGCTGCTAGGATTAGAGGGGCGGTAAAGGCGAGGATTTTGTCACAATTGTGTACTTTGGGTTAAAAGAACCAAATTTGGCACACTTATATATTGAACCATTCCGAACATTTCTGGATATGGATCCACCACAGCAGTGCCCCCCTGGTGGCAAACAATCCAAGATGGCCGCCAATTTGACTGAAATCTCTAATGATGTCAGTCTGTGCTCAACATATCATAATTATCTTGTCATATTCAGTATTTTCTTTTAGGATTATTCGTGACAGTCCTCTATATATTCCTAATTTAATACGCAGCACCACCTGATGGTGATAAAAATCCAAATTTATACTGTCTCCTCCCTGCCCAAGGTCTAAAAAAAAATAAATTCATACTGTCTCGTCCCTGTCAAAGGTCTAAAACAATAAATTCATACTGTCACCTCCCTGTCCAGGGTCTCCAATAATACTTATATACTCGAAACGTCGATTATGACGTTTTTATCTTTGTGTGTTTCCATAGTAACCTAATAGAAAGTAAATGAATGTAAACGATGTTAGTCTGGGCTCCGTTCGTCCTAAAAACGTCTTCACACGACCTCTGTTGGCAATATTTGTAAACACACATCGAAATTTCTCCGTAGCCACCACTGGTTAATCAGCGGAAACTGTTAATCAGCGGAAACTGTTAATCAGGACAAAGAATCCTTGTTCAGCCACGTGATGTGATATTCTGTCGGCGCCTCCATCTTGCTGACATACATCTCACAGTGTGCTGTACATTTTTACGTACATTTTACATCGATGAGGTTTGTGTTATCCTCTTGCTGGTAATGAAAGGGACTGACATGCCAACCCCACTCTGGGTAACCACCATGCCACTCTGTTTGCCTTGGCATCTAAAGTGTGCGTTAACCAGTGTGCACAGATGGTACAAGTGAATGCACATATAGCATGCATGACTGTTCATGATCACAAGCAGAGAGTGTTTAATTCACATGTATCTCTTTGCAATAAAAAAGGAAGATAAAATGCATGTTAATTTTCACATTTCATGACATCCGGGGTACATCACTGCGGCATCACAAATACCACTTAACAGGGCTCAGCGTCCAGCATGCAGCAGTATGACATACGGAATACCACTTAACAGGGCTCAGCGTACAACACTGTGGCATCCGGAAAACCACTTAACAGGGCTCAGCGTATAGCACTGTGGCTTCCGGAATACAACCTAAGTGGGCTCACCGTACGACATTGTGGCATACGGAATACCACTTAACAGGGCTCAGCGTCCAGCATGCAGCAGTATGACATCCGGAATACCACTTAACAGGGCTCACCGTACAACACTGTGGCATCCTGAATACCACTTAACAGGGCTCAGCATACAACACTGCAACATCCGGAATACCACTTAACAGGGCTCAGCAAACAACACTGTGGCATCCGGAATACCACTTAACAGGGCTCAGCGTACAACACTGTGGCATCCGGAATACAACCTAAGAGGGCTCACCGTACAACACTGTGGCATCCGGAATACCACTTAACAGGGCTCAGCATACAACACTGCAACATCCGGAATACGACTTAACAGGGCTCGGCATACAACACTGTGGCATCCGGAATACAACCTAAGAGGGCTCAGCGTACAACACTGTGGCATCCGGAATACCACATAACAAGGCTCACCGTACAACACTGTGGCATCCGGAATACAACCTAAGAGGGCTCAGCGTACAACACTGTGGCATCCGGAAAACCACTTAAGAGGGCTCACCGTACAACACTGTGGCATCCGGAAAACCACTTAACAGGGCTCAGCGTACAACACTGTGGTATCCGGAATACAACCTAAGAGGGCTCACCGTACAACACTGTGGCATCCGGAAAACCACTTAACAGGGCTCAGCGTACAACACTGCGGCATCCGGAATACCACTTAACAGGGGTCACCGTACAACACTGTGGCATCACGAATAACACTTAACAGGGCTCAGCATACAACACTGCAACATCCGGAATACCACTTAACAGGGCTCAGCATACAACACTGTGGCATCCGGAATACAACCTAAGAGGGTTCACCGTACAACACTGCAGCATCCGGAATACCACTTAACAGGTCTCAACGTACAACACTGCGACATCCAGAAAACCACTTAAGAGGCTCTCGGATTCAGGAATCCACAAACTGGATCCTTCAATCACGCGGTTTAAAATTCAGAATTATTGTTAACTCTTGTTTCCGGGCTCTAGCAAGGTCCCCAGACGTCGGGTGGGAGTAACACTGAGCCTCCACTCTTCCAGGACCTCGTGTCATCCCAAACGGTGTCCTTATTCGACCTTCTAGCACAGATATACATTACTGACGACATTATAATGCGTTTAAAACTGTGTGACGTATGAGGATCTGTTGTCACGTGCCTATTGGAAAAACCCTTTCTCTTTTCCCGCAAGTCTTTTTGCTAATTCAGCAACAATCGCCCATTCTCACACCAGGAATCCTGGAATCCAGGAATTTACATAGATTACTTCATCTGGACCATCTAAAGTACATCGTTTACTCGTTGTAACAACGGCCAGGTATATTTATGTTCCTTTTTACGCTGTGAATGAGTATTTAACTCGGCTTGGGGCAGTATTTTAGTTTCAACACAGCACGTCAGCGTAATGTTGGAATAAACGCATCAGGTACAATTACACTTTTTGTGAAACCAACCACCGCGGCTCTGTGACTGATAGTGTTCCGGAGCAGACGTTAACTAAACACGTGCAATATAGTAGCAGGTATGAGAGTCTCAAACACAGTTATCTGTCTTCTGCTTTGAAGAAGAACCATCAGTTGCTACAACTCTACAACTTATTCCTTCTGACAGCACATTTGGTAAAGCAGCACTACTGGAATGTTTTCTGCACGCGATGTTCATCAGAGGCAACTAATGACGTAATCATTCATATGACCTGGGTAACACAGCAGTGGGAATTCCCAGGGTGAAGATGTATAGAGAGTATTGTCCGTTGAGATTTTCTCGTTTGAATGATTGACCTAAAATGTTCTCATTCGTTAACAATGTCTAGATTTAAAAGTAGACATAATATTTGGAAGTGAGGTGCCAAGTAGTTAAATACCGAGGGTGTTTCTTCCACGAACCTCCACAGATTTCACCATTACAACAACAGACTTATTTACTGCCAACAGCTACCAGAACGACAAGCATCTACATGGCCGCCACCATCATCACTACTAGCACCTCTCAAAACTATCACCTTCCGCTCCACCACGCCCGTCACAACATTCGTCGTAACCACTACCACGACACTACAACCATATCCGCCACTACAGCTTTCCTACTTTACCTGGTGCCTAGCTACCACCATTGTGAGAAGTAGGACCTAGAATCTAGAATTATGTGTATAAAATAACAGAGCAAACGTATGTATGGGCCGTCATTTTAGACTTGAAGCCATGTGGGAACGATCGTGGCATTTTCGTTTTTGTGCCTGGTAAGTGGGTTTGTGAGTAATCCTCAAAACATAAACTATAGGTCCAGCATAATCAACCTTGATTCAGTCTCCTCGTTATAACTACGCTCCACAGAAAATATCCTTGGGCGACGAAGATTACCTGCAGCACCAATAGGCTTGACCTCTTGTCAACGTCCTTGACGTCATCCGGGTTTTCAGTACGATAATTACAGATGCTCTACTTCATAACACACCAATCTGACACTTAGACAACAATGCGGGTTAATTTTCGTTCTGATCGATCACTTCTTTAATATGATTGTCGTGTAACAAAACCGCGCACTGGTCTTGTTCTGTTTGTAGTATAAGTCGGTTATGTCGGCAAAATTATATTCACACTGATCTATACGAGTAATTATCGCAACAGTAGTAAGGTGGTCTGATCCCTCAGCTTTGATGTGGGTTGGCATTCCAGACCCCCGGTCTAATGTGTGTCGATATACTGGTATGGTGTTGTTAGAGGAGGCAGCTCAGCGAGAACAGTGTTACACGTAAAATGACGGCCACACCCAGTGTAACACGTGACTGACGGTTACACCCAGTGTAACACATGACTGACGGTTACGCCCAGTGTTACAAGTAAATGACGACCACTCACAGTGTTACACGCGACTGCCGGCCACACCCAGAGTTGTACGTGATTTACAGCCGCTCCCAGTGTTATACGTAACTGTCGGCCACTCCCTGTGTTATACGTGACTGACGGCCGCTCCCAGTGTTACAAGTAACTGTCGGCCACTCCCAGTGTTATACGTGACTGACGGCCGCTCCCAGTGTTACAAGTAACTGTCGGCCGCTCCCAGTGTTACAAGTAACTGTCGGCCACTCCCAGTGTTATACGTGACTGACGGCCGCTCCCAGTGTTACAAGTAACTGTCGGCCGCTCCCAGTGTTACAAGTAACTGTCGGCCACTCCCAGTGTTATACGTGACTGACGGCCGCTCCCAGTGTTACAAGTAACTGTCGGCCACTCCCTGTGTTACAAGTAACTGTCGGCCGCTCCCAGTGTTACAAGTAACTGTCGGCTGCTCCCAGTGTTACAAGTAACTGACGGCCGCTCCCAGTGTTACAAGTAACTGTCGGCCACTCCCAGTGTTATACGTGACTGACGGCCGCTCCCAGTGTTACAAGTAACTGTCCGCCGCTCCCTGTGTTACACGTAAATGAAGGTCACACCTAGAGTTACACGTGACAGGTCACACCCAGTGTTACACGTGACAGGTCACACCCAGTGTTACATGTCAATAACGACCACACCCTGTGTTCCACATGAATGACTCTTAACACGTTATTCTTACTGAATTTATTCAAAGCAAATGCCATGAGTTAAGGTGCATTATTTTTCCTTTTCATTAAACCATGGATGAAACCTTCCGTTTCATCAAAAGAGAATATTGAAAAGCACAACAACGATGCAATATATTTAAATACATTGGTTGAACTAATTAAAGAAAAGTGGCCAGTCGTCGTATTAACGACGCCATAAAGATCCTACATATTCTTTGTTGACTTCGATGCAGCGGGCGTTGGGTTGCTGTACGGGAACATGGCGCAAGTACACCACTGAATTCCGCCACCCCACATGTCGGCTTTATTGAAGCTGGGGCGGCCGAAGGGTACTTTACATGGTGGTAATCACCCTACCTAAAGCAATATAAATCCAAGCCCGTGTTATTAGATCAAGCCTTCATTCCCTGTTATTCCCTATTGCAGTTTTACCCTAGATAGACTAGTGTTCGTTGCCGAACATATCCATGATTAGACGATTCTCTCAAAGTGACATCTATGGATTAGAAATAGTTCCTTTTCCCTTCCATTCCGTAGCCTCACTTGGAATCTTCCTTGTTTTAAAACCTTCGTCAAGAAGGTGGAGACAGTAACGTGAAGCAATATATCCAGCCTCGTTGGAGCCAAATGAAAACTATAGCATAGCGGTCTAACTCTTTCTGCCGAAACTGCGGCAAGACAGGTTGACTCGAAACAGTAGATTGGTCAATGTTGTGTTATGCGGTAATTATATCACGGTAATTTGGTGTCTATTAGGGCTGGATATTGCCCTGATTCTCATATTGCGATATATTGCAATAATTCAAGAGATATTGCAATATATATTGTGATATATTGACTGGAAGGTGTCTGTCCAAGTGTGTACGTCATAAATTCATAATAGCTCTCTGTGTGCGACATCATCTTCTTAGTTGCTGTTACACCATCTGTTCAGGCTTCCTGTCCCCATTGTGTATGGGTGTATGCCAGTGGTGTACAGATAAATGATATAGAGCCTTAATGTGGAATGTTTCATTGAAGTAACTGTATTGCAACAAAGTTTTGCTTACGACCATAATGATAAAGGTAACAGTATAACATGATTTTCCTGGTCAGTGTTGTTTGCTTAAACAGAATGCACTTCAATGCGGTATGTAATTATTGTTGCTGTTTGTCAGTGATTCATTCAGATTCAACACCAATATAAACATGTGTTAACATGAACTATTGCAAACTGAAACAAAAACATGATTTAGATGAACTACTTGAGCTTAAATCTCATGTGACCTCCAATAACTAAGATCCTTCCCTAGAATGTCATTATACAGTCCTGCAAAATTTATAAGACTTTGGCCTTTATCATAAATTGATAACATATGTCCCATTATGAAACAAAACAAATATAACAAAGTAATGTGAATTGCGAAATGGTCACTCAGAGCCAGTAGCTCTACTTATATGTCCAAATAAAAGATTGGTCAACTTTTTGAAGGGCATTTAGAAGTGGAATGCATAAGAAAAGCAAGATTTATGGATGTCAACTTTTTATTGTGAATATTCATGACCTGATGAAGGAGCAAGCATACACTCCGAAACGTTGTGTTATTCACAACAATAAGTTGACATCCATAAATCTTGCTTTTCGTAAAAGATTGGTCCATTTGAGGCCACTTAATTCCTACAAAACGTCAAATATGAAACCATTCAAACCCCAAAACCGTAAAGCATTTGGTAGAATATTTGGCACTTTTGCAGCCACTTATAAAGACACTTCCAATTGTATAATTCTACATGGAACAGAAAAGAAACAAAAGTATATTTGGCACTTTTAGAGCTCATTTTGTTGTTATGGAAATCAAGGGCAGATAATTCACAGGGCGATAACTCTGGATGACCCAATATATTGCAGAATCTGAACCATATCGCGATAATCGTATCGTGAGATACTTTACCGGTATATACCGGTTTACCGGTAATATTGGCTATGACACTGCTTCACCGCGGCCATATAACAGCTATATCACGACCATATCACTACTACACCAGAGCCATATCAGCTTTATAACGTCAGTATCACTGCTACACCAGAGCCATATCGGCTTTATTACGTCAGTATCACTGCTACACCAGAGCCATATCAGCTTGATCACGTCAGTATCACTGCTACACCAGAGCCATATCAGCTTTATCACGTCAGTATCACTACTACACCAGAGCCATATCAGCTTTATCACGTCAGTATCACTGCTACACTAGAGCCATATCAGCTTTATCACGTCAGTATCACTGCTACACCAGAGCCATATCAGCTTGATCACGTCACTATCACTACTACACTAGAGCCATATCGGCTTGATCACGTCAGTATCACTGCTACACTAGAGCCATATCAGCTTTATCACGTCAGTATCACTACTACACCAGAGCCATATCAGCTTGATCACGTCAGTATCACTGCTACACCAGAGCCATATCAGCTTGATCACGTCAGTATCACTGCTACACCAGAGCCATATCAGCTTGATCACGTCAGTATCACTGCTACACCAGAGCCATATCAGCTTTATCACGTCAGTATCACTACTACACTAGAGCCATATCGGCTTGATCACGTCAGTATCACTGCTACACCAGAGCCATATCAGCTTGATCACGTCAGTATCACTACTACACCAGAGCCATATCAGCTTGATCACGTCAGTATCACTGCTACACCAGAGCCATATCAGCTTGATCACGTCAGTATCACTGCTACACCAGAGCCATATCAGCTTGATCACGTCAGTATCACTGCTACACTAGAGCCATATCAGCTTGATCACGTCAGTATCACTGCTACACCAGAGCCATATCAGCTTGATCACGTCAGTATCACTGCTACACCAGAGCCATATCAGCTTGATCACGTCAGTATCACTGCTACACTAGAGCCATATCAGCTTGATCACGTCAGTATCACTGCTACACCAGAGCCATATCAGCTTGATCACGTCAGTATCACTGCTACACCAGAGCCATATCAGCTTGATCACGTCAGTATCACTGCTACACTAGAGCCATATCAGCTTTATCACGTCAGTATCACTGCTACACTAGAGCCATATCAGCTTGATCACGTCAGTATCACTGCTACACCAGAGCCATATCAGCTTGATCACGTCAGTATCACTGCTACACCAGAGCCATATCACGTCAATGCTGTATCACAATTATATAACGGTTTGATTATGGCTGATATACAGCATTATTACCCACGTGGTCAACGTATGGGTAGTTGCATACTAATCTCGTACGTCACACGAGTGTCGTATCGCGTTGACCTGTGTCGTAACGACTTGACCTGAGATTCTAACGATTTGATTGGATAACCGATGACCTCTCAATTACGTCACATTCTGACGTAACTATTCTTCCATTCATAACAAACACGTGAATTCATTCATTCTACAACTTAAATGCATTGTGGGAATGTAAACATTGCGAACGTTGCCGTGTCGCTGTTTAATTGTGAGTCGAACTGAGACATTATATCCGTCGAAAAACATAAACGCAATGTTTCCACCAGTGATGTTAGCCGAATGAAGCAACTGCAAACCAAGAAACGGGGTGCTACGGAGTAGTTGACTGTAGGAGGCTGTACGAGGCGATGACAACTGACATGCATCGTGACGTCGGTTACCAAGGCAGTGACGTCATTACAGTGTGACGTCATGCAAATATTGTACTACAGTACAAAACTCTTCCGCAACCTCTTTATGAAACCGGTTTCGGTTTGAAACCAAAATATTAACAAAAGTACGCTATTTTGTCAATTTAATGCATGTAAGACGTGGGTAATACTAAATAATATTATTCGAAAGTTCATATACGAATTATACGAAACTGTGACCTTCCTATAGTTATTCGACCTCGCTTTCGCCTCGGTCAGATACCATAGGAAGGACACTCGTTTCGTATAATTCGTATGTAATGAGACCTCGTGTAGTATTCTCTATATATCTTGGATATATATGAGCTGTTATGTTGACTATATAACGACTGTATAGAGGTTAAAGCTGTGGCGACTGTGGCGCCGTTATATAACGGTTTTGAACACGTCCCAGCTACAACAGGGCATGGTTATACCACTATCACGGCCATACACACATGAATGCCACATGGGGGCCATATGACAGGTATGTGAAGAATATAACACGGTTGTATGGCGGTTGTTAGTTATCATTAACGGATATGGTCACGATGTTACCGAATCTTGCCCAGAGTTTTGGAAAAAATACCCAACGTCTTATACGTACCTACCTGAATCGTTGACATTCACGCCAGTTGTCACTGACAATATCTACTCTTTACGTCAGATTAACCTGAAAGACATCGAGTTGTTTTTGGTTGCTCTGGAACTATCACGTTATGTCGTATTTCTAGTTTGGCTTTACGATACGTCACTTTACATGAGTGACGGACATCACTATGCTCAATAAAGCACAGCAGAATGCTCCCCAATTGTCTGTCCAGTGTCAGACATGAGTTTCAAAATGAAAAAAAAGAATTGGTTAAATGTGCCCCAAGATAGATGGTTCGAATCCGTAATCCAGGAAAGCTGTTACATTGCAGATAGAAAACGATTATCCTACCAAAGAAATGTCATTTGTCGATATTTTGAGACCAATTCCACTAAATCATCGAAACACATGGTCCTTGAGGGAGCGGCTGTTCCTTTTATCCCATCTCAACTCATAGCCCCGACTTGTTGATTGCCCTTTGGAGGTTAACATGAGTGCCGGTTGCTGTGCGGTTACATCCATGTACAGGTAGTGAAGCCAGGGCTGTTTACTACGCCATGGTGTGGACCGTTTAATTGACTATTTCAGGATTACATCCCCTGCTAGACTCAGACGGATGCACTGAGTGGGGTCTGAACGGGACTGGGCGCCTTGATTCCTAATGCGAGTTTTATGAAATCATGAAGTAATACAGTTATAGATTACTGGCCACATGGGGCTTTTGAAACGTGATAGGTCGACTGGGTTTTCGTGGATACGCGGTGCGTTCTTCGCTAATGATGTAAGACAGACATAGACTAGTTCAGCGTTCATAACATAATACAATTCAGCGTTGCTGATATCATTCAAACATTTTCAACGATAAGAGTCAAGAATATGTGTACGTAAATGAAAGAACGAATACTGAATAATCTTTAGTATTTGGAATATCATATAAATTATCCGGATGCACTGTCGCACCAAACAACCATATACTACAACCCCTGCACAAGTTTCATCACATCACGTCAACCAACCCCCACACAAGTAATATCACCTGTCAACCAACCACCACACAAGTTATATCACCAGTCTACCAACCACCACACAAGTTATATCACCAGACAACCAGCCACCACACAAGTTATATCACCTGTCAACCAACCACCACACAAGTTATATCACCAGACAACCAACCACCACACAAGTTATATCACCAGACAACCAACCACCACACAAGGTATATCACCAGACAACCAACCACCACACAAGTTATATCACCTGGTAACCAACCAGCGCACAAGTTATATCACCAGACAACCAACCACCACTCAAGTTATATCACCAGACAACCAACCACCACGCAAGTTATATCACCAGACAACCAACCACCACACAAGTTATATCACCAGACAACCAACCACCACACAAGTTATATCACCTGTCAACCAACCACCGCACAAGTTATATCAGCTGTCAACCAACCACCACACAAGGTATATCACCAGACAACCAACCACCACACAAGGTATATCACCTGTCAACCAACCACCACACAAGTTATATCACCAGACAACCAACCACCACGCAAGTTATATCACCTGTCAACCAACCACCACACAAGTTATATCACCAGTCAACCAACCACCACACAAGTTATATCACCTGTCAACCAGCCACCACACAAGTTACATCACCAGACAACCAACCACCGCACAAGTTATATCAGCTGTCAACCAACCACCACACAAGTTACATTACCAGACAACCAACCACCACACAAGTTATATCACCAGACAACCAACCACCACACAAGTTATATCACCAGACAACCAACCACCACTCAAGTTATATTACCAGTCAACCAACCACCACACAAGTTATATCACCTGTCAACCAACCACCACACACGTTATATCACCAGACAACCAACCACCACACAAGTTATATCACGAGACAACCAACCACCACACAAGTTATATCACAAGATAACCAATCAGCAAGCAACCCATAAAATGTTGTACATGTCTTGCAGACACACACCATGCTGCCCCAACAGCCCGTGTCGCCGGGTCAAGAGGGACACTCAGTAATGATTTTATTTTGTTCAAATAGATTATTATCTTTCTTTCAGCTAAAATAATGTTGCATGGAATATAACACATTGATAAATTCTGAAGTATAAAAATGTTTTTGTACTCTGCACATGTTATCTCGTTAAGACGAACTGTGTGTGGGCTGTAGTGAGTGAGTTATCAAGTAGTTGGGATTTATGTTGTATTTAATAGTCATACATCGGCAATATTTCAGCCATATCTACATTATCTTAATTCTACATTATCTTAATTCCCTTTACACTCTGAACTGACGAGAACATTTTATAATTATAGTAAAGATCAATAAAGTTAGAAATTAAAAAACCTGTTGACGAAGAACAGTAAAACTACTAGTGTAGCACAGATATCCATTTAAAACTAGCAATTAAATCTAAAATATTGGAACTATAAATGACAATACAATATAAAATCAAAATGTTTGTACTTGTTAGTAATGTGTGAGTGAGTGAGTTACGATTTATCACATCGGCAATATTTCAGGCTATAGATTGCCAACGTGTTAGTAATGATATTAATTTAATAACGTTAGGATATCTATACAAATGATTTGAGTACAGCGGACAAACAAAAAGGAAATGGTACTCACCCTCGACAGTATTTAAATCTCATAGTTGGCATAGTCTCTTTTGTCGATTAATATTAGTATAGTGTTCAGTTTCTATAAATAAATCATGAGATGAATATCGAAAACGTGATTATGCAACTCGGAACGTCTTTACTGTTATTTAGCGAGGTGCCACACGAATCTTATTTGCACTTTAAAAGGTTTGTAAAGTAAACATTTGTTTGATAGAGTGACATGATAAAGTTGGGGTAGCATCTAACGTTCTGCTCATACCATGCGTTACCAAAACCAGTTTAAAACAGCAATGTTTATATATTCGTTACCCAATTATTTTTTACATTATTGCCATAAACTATCATCATATTGTAACGCATTTTGGGAAATCTATATGCAGGCATGTTCAACAATCCTAACCATTATTTTATAACCTTAACTTGAGAAAATATGTGCATCGGGAATCTACCACATTCACCATAACACTAGACGTACTTGTCTTGACGCCAAGAAATCTGTTATGAATATAAATGAACTTTTTTCTATTACATCAAAATGGTTACTTAAAATCTAACATATCACTCTTGTTATCATGGCAGGATTGATTGACGTGGAGTACTTACCTCTAGGCGAGGTATACAACAGGCGATACTGTGAGTTTAAGTTATGTAAGTTATTGAAGTTTTTAAATAAAGAATGTGTTAGTGATACAGTTTAAGTGTATAGATTACGTATGCTTACTATGCTCAAAATCAGATTATGCATGTATACTATGCTCAAAATCAGATTATGCATGTATACTATGCTGGAGACAGATTAAGTATGCATACTATGCTCAAAATCAGATTATGCATGTATACTATGCTGGAGACAGATTATGCATGTATACTATGCTCAAAATCAGATTATGCATGATATATGCATATGCTATACTATGCTGGAGAAATCATGCATGTATACTATGCATTATGCATGTATACTATGCTGGAGACATGATTATGCTATGTATACTATGCTCAAAGATCACTAATGATTATGCATGTCATTCCACTTATTTTTACAAAGGTATTACAAAGGTTGGAGTCAACCATACCATATGTTGTTTTAACCCGTATGACTATTAGGACGTATGACTAATGGGAGGACACCGGTACGACAAGTAAGTGCTTAATGTATTATTGCCACTAAGTATTAAACGGCTAAAATTGCAAGAGCGAGAACAT